TAGAGGGGCTGCCTCTTAGGTTACTCAAGAAAGACAGCAGAATAGCCGTGAGTCGAACTTTTATATCCGTGCTGGTGCATGCTTGCCTCCCTTTTGTGTCTCCCTGCAGTGTAAATTAGGAGGCCCCGTGAATTCATCAGGAGCGGCAGGCGTGAATGCCTTTCCCCATGACATCCCGAGGCAATCTGTCCTTCGGAAAAAAAAATGGATCACACCTCCTGTGTGCTGGTTGTAGCTCGGGACATGTAGTCAAAGCAAGAAGACGAGCACAGTCTGATGGGATGGACTTGTGTAGAAGGATAGGGTCGATGCTGCTGCATAGTGACACTTGGGAAGGGGGTGCAAATCTCCTTGAGATGAGCCAGCACATGGTGGCTGTGGTCTGCAGTTTTCCTCACTCATCCCAAATGGAGCCTTTCCCATGAACTCCATCTTCCAGACATTGCACACATTGGTGTGTGCTGCGTATGGGAGGCCAGTCAGTCCAGCAAGTAGCCCTGCTTTATGCGGGAGCAATTCCAGATGGCTTGCTTGTAAGGACGTTTTTCACAATAGATGTAGCCCTCTGTGTCGTTTTGATCCACTCCCTGTATACATCTTTTGACATGTGGAAATGTATACAGCCTGAGTGGCAAAACCAGCTCCCTTACTATTATGAACCAGTTGTCCCCTATCTGAGATGTTTCTGTGGCTGGCTGGGTAGTATAATTCTCTTAATTAATTTCCAGAGTGGGTGCAACATCTTTCATAGCCAGTGAAATTATCATCTTATTGTATTTATCAATGGTGGGATGAGATGCACATGTGGGTGAAAGTTTGGAGGGGGGGGTGCAGTTCAAACTAGCATCTTCTGGCATTTAGAGTGGAATTCAGCTTCCCTGACTTGGACATCTAAAGGTGGCGGATTGGATTTAAACACCATCCCCCTAATGACAGGCACCTGAGATGCCTCAGGTGAGACTTCCAGAAGTGCCTATTTCTTTCAAGGCCTAAAGGAGGAACAGTCAGGTGACTGGTTCCATTTGAGACACCTACATTTTAGATGCCTAAAGGGAGAGAAATTCCACTTTTGGTGGCAGGAATTGTAAATTATTTGGCAACATTGAAGGTAATGCTAGAGCACCTCCTAAATGGTTATATAATGTGCAGGATATTCTACCTACAGGCATAGTGTGAGGAAGGCTGAAGAGATGTGAGGGTGTACCTATAGGCTCAGGTATCTATATGGTGGACATACAGTTGTAGAACTAGAATTGTGTTATTTAACAGAGCTGACCCAAACTTTGTGAGTGTTAAGAACTCTTGAGATCAGCAGGGGTGATGGCACATCTCAGAGGGGATGGGGCCTGGGCAATCGGCTGTGGGAAACAAAGAGAAGAGAGTGCAGAGGTGCCAAGTAACAGTAGACAACTAGCCCCTGTCTTCATTCATCTTGAAGTCCAGTGTGCTGGGTTGGGTTAATGGCAGTGCTGTCAGAGTGCTGAAAAGAATTGTGCTGCAAGGACTGGCAGAAGCTAACTGCCTGAGGAATGGAGTGTGCACTAGTATGTAGCTAGGACCTGTTCATCCAACCCATCCATCCTGCTGCGGTTGTCTTTCTGGCTTGCAGAAGTCATCCCTACATGTCCCAGTTGCTTGTTTGCAGCATTCATAATAGCTGAGGTATTGGTGATGGTGATAGGCAAGTTGTTGGGAGACTTTTTCCAATTGGCTTGAATTGTGTGGTAGCCATTTGTATACGACTACTGTGGCTGAAAGGTTTCTACATCTTAAGCTGCCAGACAAGTTCTTCACATTGGCAGGTTCACTGACATTCATTGGTCAGACTCCCCAGAAGCACCTCAGGCTGTCATACAGGAGACACCTCTGGTGCCTTAGCCCTTTCTAGAAGAAAAAAATTGAATATGACATCTTTATTTCCTTTCTCCCTGCATTATGGGATCACCATTCCCCTTTCATACCACTGCCCCTCTACTCTCATGTGGATGCCTGTCATTACTGCATCTTTCCAGAATGCAGGGAGCAGCATCCTATGAGATCTAGACTAACGGTGCTCTGCAAATTGCTTGTAGGAAGCACCCACTCGCCCTATATTCCCATTGAAGTCTTATGCACAGTTAAATTGCTCTTTCTTCTTGTTCACAGTGCGTAAGCAAGAGATCATTAAGATAACAGAGCAGCTGATAGAAGCCATCAACAATGGAGACTTTGAGGCTTATACGTAAGTACAGATGTCTTCTGACAGGTTGTTTTATCAGTTTGTGCGCAAATGATGTTCTGGCTCCTGGGTATGAGGAGTGACCATGCGGTCAGGGATGGTAAAAAGTTTTATGCTTTTTAGCCTCCGTCAATTAGGGAGTACGGATATGATGGAGCTCTCTAAATGAGCATCAAGTAGAAGTCAGGAATCAAACAGCAACAGGAGCAACAAAAGGAAAATGTCCTGACTTTGTAAGAAAAGTAGGGGGGAGGCCTACTTTTGCGGGCAGTAAGAGAATGAAAGAAAAGCCAGAAACCAGGAGGCTTATTTTATGTGAAATGCCAACTACCACCAACTCTGTGTTGTTGCAGTAGGACTGAGTCCTCCAGGAACTTACTCCTTGGAGTAGGGAAATAGTTAGGTGGACACAAGGTGAGTCAAATGCCATACCAGCGCTTCGTTATGTAAATAGCCCTTGGGCTCAAATGCAGACTGTAAGCCTGTGGTGCTTTTCTTTGCAGAAAAATCTGTGATCCTGGCTTGACCTCGTTTGAACCTGAAGCACTGGGGAACCTGGTTGAAGGAATGGATTTCCATAAGTTTTACTTTGAGAACTGTGAGTGGGTAGACTTGGTAACACCAACAGCTTTCTCTCTAACTTCCCTTTATGACACATTTTGGGGGGGAAATTGCCCTTGTTTTTACTGGCTATCAGAACCAGCAAAATCTTGATTATGCATGGGTTATGATGCGTTCATAAGAGCCAGCATGCTTTCTCTCAAGTGTGTTTTTCAGCAACAATTTAAATTCCAACCCCTTCACTGTAGGTGTACAGTTTGCCTGGTGCAAATATTTTGTAACCGTGGACTGCAGGAACTTTAAAAGTTTGAGGCACCGGATTTCCTACTGATAGGGAAATGGAAAAAATGAGCATATTTTTGATGGAAACAACATGTATGTTTGAGATAGATGTACTGAATGATCAGACATAAAAATAGTCATGCACAAATTAGTCATGCCTTGTCTTTGAGTTTTCCCTGGATGGTTTCAGATCGCTGACACCTAATGAACCCGTTAAATGGATACAAGGGTCACCTTGTCAGCCTGGGGCAGGAAAAAGAGTTGGGAGAAAATGCTATCATTTATACTAGTGGATTTGCCTCCCCTCCTGGATGTCTCCGCAGGATGAGATAATTGAAATTTAAATCCTGAGCTGTTCAATTTGTTTTATTTTGGGGGTTAGGTCAAGGTCCTTAGTATTGCCAATTCCTAGTGCTCTAAGTGTGCAAAGACTTTGTCTCTCCCAGAAGCCTGTTCTGGAGTGATTTTTACACTTCTCTGAGGCTTGTTCATATTTAATGCAGGCCTAACTTAAAAATCTCCTGATTATTGACTCCTTTGCAACAATATTCTGTAATTAAAAGGTCGTTTCCTATAACTGAAGAAACAGCAGCACTAATTTTGAAAAAGTGGTGAGTATGCTTTGCAGAAGAAGTGGGAGCAAAGGGGCCGGGGATTCTAGGTAATAAGAAGTGCGCAGTTTCTAAGGAGAGGAACAGGAAGAGTTGCTTGGATTTTGCCTGGAAAATTGCACGAGCAATTTTTATTGTATCCCAGAATCCCATGGAAGGTGAGTAGAATACAAAAGAGGTTGGAGGACGGTGGGAGCTGTTCCTTCGTAGTAGTAAAATGAAGCTGATGGGTTTGCATGTTCTGCCAGTACTGTCGAAGAACAGCAAGCCAATACACACCACCATCCTGAACCCTCATGTCCATGTCATTGGTGAAGATGCTGCCTGCATCGCGTACATCCGCCTGACACAGTACATCGATGGCCAAGGCCGGCCCCGCACCACGCAGTCTGAAGAGACCCGCGTCTGGCACCGCCGAGATGGCAAGTGGCTGAATGTCCACTACCACTGCTCTGGAGCTCCTGCAGCACCTCTCCAGTGAGGATCACATACGGGTATGGACTGTCAGGGAAGAAGCATATCATACGCACAGCTAAGGCTGCTGTATGTGGGAATTCAGTATTCAAGGCTGTTTAGCTGGCTGGTGAGAGAACTATTTTTAGTTGTCTGTAGGCTAAAAACTTCTGCTGATCAGTTGGTGTTCCTTTCTCTAAGCCCTGTCCTCTGGACTCAGTAGGATTATCTGCCACTCCTGACAAACTGGAGTCATGTGCCAGGCGGTGGTTCCTGAGCATAGCTGCCCTTGTAGCAGCAGCGCTTACTCCCAGGTACTCGGCTCTGTGCTCGGACAGAGTGCTAACCCAGAGCAGAGAGGAAGAGTATCTCATACTGTGCACAGGTTTGCTGTTTCCCAGCTGTCAGGGATCTACCTTTACACGTTGGGGGTGATTTCAGAGAACTTTTTTGATGAGAATGTCATATTCTAAAGAGGATATTGTAAAATCTATACAGAAGAATTTCTATGTCATAAGGCTAAAGATTTATTCATATAAATTTTACTACTGGTTTTCTGATTAGCAGAAGTTATTTAGTGTACAATGTTGAGAAAACTCAGAGGTAAAAAAATATCTAAACAAATAATAATATCAGAGGATTTAAAATATCCCCCAATTAAGCTTGCCACAGTTCAGCATTGGAGGAAACTTTCATTATAAAATTTGACATGAAGAAATGATTGTTGCTTCCTTCTGAAGGACAGCAGATCTCTTTACTTCTGCAGCATTTAGGCATTCTTGTTTATTTCCTTACTGGCCTCTTTTAGTTAGATGTACAAAGTCTTTCAGCCTCCTTTTGTTTTATGCTGAAGTATATGTCACATTCATTTTAAAAATCTGAGTTTCCTTTTTACTAAAGATTTTCTAGTTAAGAGCAAAAAAAAAAAGGGAGACAAACATTTTTTAATGTGGTCATTTGAGGACCACATTTGAGGACTACACTCAAGTAGTTACTACTTGAGTCCTACTCTTGTGTACTATTTGGGACTAAGCCAAGAGCAGTTTTTATTCTTATGTGTTGTGAGGGATTCAACCCTACTGAAGGCAATGGAAAGGAATTTGAACTATCGCAAGCAAACTGCCAAGGTCACAGATGGAATTTGAAAAGCAAAAGCCAGTTGGGGTGCCAGAAGCAGGGAAGCTTTCAAGAGAGCTGGACAATCAGCTGAATTTCCAGGGAGTAAGGCAGTGAGAAGGATAAAACCTTTGCAGGGAACCAAAAAGTCACTTACTTGCATCAGTTTTCATCACAGAGATATTGAGGGAGACTTCTGTCCTGGATTTAGTCCAAAAAAGATGCAGAAGAAATTATTAAATTAAAGATCAGTATGGCTCAGTGGCTATGCCTAGGTGTTCTAAGGAAGCTTAGGAACGGAGAGTCTTCGCTGCTACAGAAGAGGTATGTTTCCTTGACTTGGCTGCTGAAATGTTGCACCTCCTCTAAAAGTATGTGCTGGAGGGTTTCTGAAAACTTCAGAGCAGAAGCCATTTCCAAACCACAAAATGTTGGTTAAAACAGTATTTAAAAAAACCCTACAAACTAAATTGAAGTTGAAATACTTGCATGCATTTCTGGGTTCTGAAGGAGGTGTAACCACGTGCAATTACAACTGGGGTCAGTGTGGGCAGCCCCCATCTGAACACACTGAATCATTTTGGAGCGGCCTTGGCCCATGTGCAGTGAAGGGTAAGGACAAAGAAGGAATGAGGTGAATAAGAACGCTTAAATAGAAATCAGTGGTTTGTTTTTGCCTGGAAGGCAGAGTTCAGTTTTGGGTAAGTCCTCTTAAAAGGAAACTGCAGCTGTAAAAAGTTTGAGGTTAATCTGAGGACTTCCATGTAAGGAGAGAGTAGGAACCGAGAAGGGAGAAGACTAATAAGAGAGTTTGCGACAAAGATTTGCAAACTAAGAAGTGGTAGAAAGATTTTGGCTACGCTTCTGTGGCAGGACAATGTTAAACAAACATGAAAAAACCCCAATCTTAAAATTGATCAAATTAAATCCAGTAGTTTGACACAAGATTAGCCAAGAGGAGCATTTGCTAAGAGCAGTCACTAGGGCTACAACTTTGCAAAACTGCAGAAAAGCTCACACATTTAAATAAATATTAAGAACATTCAGAGACAAAATTACTGAAGACTTAAGAAAAAAAAAAAGGAATGATCTTTCAGCTCCAGGCAAAAGCCAATGGGAAGTGAGGCAGAAACTGTTCCTTAGGACCAGAGTCTTTGATCATCCCTTAGGAAGTTTCTTCAACTTCTGGGACATCACTATTAAATAGCGGGCCCAGGACTGCTCCAATCAAGAAAGTAATTCATTTTAGCAAGTAGTTCGTTTTCATTGGCATACTCAGCCGTCTGGAAGGGAAAGTGTGTGCCTCTTGGCTTCAGGGCTCTCCTCACAAGCCCCAATCTGTGTTGCGTTAGGAAGGGTTTCTGCCTGCACCAAATAATTAGCCTGTAGAAAACGTGTTTTATTAATTGTGTACAGCTAATGTTTGGCTTTATTTCCTTCCATCTTTCATCCTGTTCTCCCTTCTCCTTTCTGGGTGGACACTACCTCTTCCTGACTGCAGCAACTTGTGGAGATACTCAGCGGAGGGCGATATCTTCCTAGCAAGCAGCTCTGGAGTGCCTGAGTGACAGCAACGGTCATGTCTGTTTTGACGATAAAAAAAAAAATAAATACAAATTACAAACAGGCAGCAGCCAAATGCACGAAACCCTGCATGCATCTGATGCTCCGGGCGCTGCCTTTCTGTTGTTTTCCATGGATCCATCGTGTCTGTTTCTGCTGTACGAAGGTGTTTTTAAATCTAAAAAAAAAAAAAAGACATGTTGTTTGTATAAAATAATAAAAACCAGGAATAATGCTAAATAAATGACAGATTATTCAACATGCCCCCTCCCCCAGGGCTAAGAAAATGGCAGCAGCTGGAACATCTTTCAGAAATGAAGTGAGGGGAAAGCAAAAGTGAAGGAGAGAGAAAGAGAGAGGGAGAGGAAAAAAAAGGCAGCTTGAGCAGCGGATGGCTGAACTGTGCTCCACAAAGCCATGGTGGAAGTTAACATCGCATTCAGGCTGTGCTGCGACTTCAGTCGGTGAGAGGTGATGAGGAGACCCCAGAGGAGCCAGTGTGAAGAACTGGGGTTCAAGAGAGAGGAGGCGTTTCTCTTCCTGTTGCCTGGCAGACTAACTTCAGCCTGTTTCTTCTTTGATTTCGGCACAGCAAGAACGCTATGGAAAGCTGGTTGCTCGGCTGATGGATCCCAAAACAGACTTTTTTTTTTTTTGAAGAAAAAAAACCGAAATGGGATGTTGATTTAAAACTAAAGGTGGAAGTAGGGATTTAAAAAATGGGTTTAAGTGAATATAACTTAAATAGAAGCTTGCTCTTCAGAGATACTGGGTTTAGAAACAGCCACTACCTGGCCAAACATGGAGGTTTGAAGCCAGCTTATTTAATTTAACAAAACAAAATAAGCATTGCATTAAGAGCAGAGATTTTAGATGAAGAGGGTACATGTATGGGATTTTCTATTTTTCTTTTTTTTTTTTTTTTTTCCTTTCTAGTAGCATAGTTGGGATCCATAGTGCTGCAGAACACGTGTTCCTTAGGAAGCAGACAAACAACTTAGTGTTATGTTCTTCATGAAAACTTGCACATACACTCCTATATGAGGCATAAATAGCGTGTGTTTTTTATACTGAAATATATGCACCCATAGAATTAAAGGGGCTACCTGGCCTCCTGTTTGATTTGTTTGGTCTCTGAGTAAAATAGCAGTGGAAGCCAGCAGCCCCAGCCAGGTGCTTCTCCCCACCACTAACCCATCTGATGTTTGTAAGTGTCATGTTTCCTAGTGTTTATTTGGGTAATTTTTCTATTTTTTACAGTGATGTTGTAACACAGAAAACTATCAGATCAGAACCTCAAAAACTGTAGCTGAAGGACTCCAGGCCACCTCCCTGTGTTGCCTCTGGATGTTAGAGGATACCTCATGAAGCAGAGGGGAAAGGGACTTAGCACATGTGATCTGATGTTTGTCCTTTGGGCCAATTCATCTTCCTTTCTTTTCTTTGCTGCAAAAGGAGTCCATTTCCTTTATTCATTGGGTGGGGAATGTGGAAGTGTTTTGTTGACCTTACCAAGGAGGAAGCCTAGCCCCAAGAAGAAAATGACCTGGTAGGATTTGTCTTGACCAAGGAAAGGCATCACTTGCAGAAGTTGGGATGGGCTTTTACCTGAGTTTCTGTCTAGCCCTAATCATTTTTTGGATCTTTCGAGGGAGTTAAAGTGATTGCATTGACACATACTAAGTGCGAGGCAACCTTTTTACATACTACAGAAGAGAAGAAAGCCCATTTGGAATTTTAATCCTTATTTAACAGAATGCAGAAAATAAATGCTGTTGCACAAAGCGGAGCTGTCGCTTTGCAACAGGTAACTCTCTGCTCCTGTTGTTAGAGAGCTGCTATCCCACACCAGGATCAGATCAGCTAACCCCTGATGAAGGAAAAGACCATCCACACTTCCCAGGTTTGTCTGAGCAAATACCCTTTTCTTCCTCCCTCCATCACCCCAGG